GGCCCTATACCCAGTTCTTTATTCATTATTCAATTATACCAGTATGCCAAATACTCAAACATTTTTAATTAAAATTTAGTATCATTTTCAAGTTATATAAATAGGTGGAATATTTCCAGCCATTGGGTACATTATATTCAACTATCTACTGTTCTCAAAATTTTTTTCTATGTTTACTATAAGCAGTAAACAATAATCCTAATATTTCTAACCATTAAAAAATACATATATGTGTGTGTGTATATATATATTCACATACACACACATATATATATTTAGTAGGTAAGTGACAAATATAGCAGTAAAGGGATCTGACTTCTAGGTTAATAATTTCTCTGTGTATTTCACTGGAAGATTTTGAAGATGAAATAAGAGAAAATGTGAAAGTGCCTTGAGACTATCAAAAGCTCTTTATGCAAACAAGGTATTTGCTAACAGATGAGGGCACACTGACTTTCAAACATAAAATTTGAGGAAACTCCTCTTAGAAAAAGTGATAAGAAAATGGTATAATTATAAGATTACTCAATATGTAAGCTCTTCTCACAAACTTTAAAGTGGCCAGCATTTGTGAGATTACCTGAGATATCATGGATATAGATTTTACTTTCAATGAATAGATTTTATAAATTACAGGGAATACAAAAACCTTCAAGCCAGCAAAGTGGCTCACTCTCAGAAATAATATGAACTCAGGCTACTACGTCTTTGATTTACAACACTCAATCAATTATATAGGAATAACTTCAGCTCAGAAAAGTACATTGTAGAATGATGTCATACCAGGACAGCTAGAAACAGGTGTTCCCATATTAATGAGGCAAAGTGCGCATCGAGGAAGGGGTTTTCGACAGCCAGGGCAGCTTGTGACTTTAGATTTTGTTGGCGAGCCACTGACACCATACTGACTGAAACCTCTGCCCTGATGAGGCACAGTTGAACAGCTATAGGAGATAGACTTGCCACAGAAATTGCAACTCACAAACACCTATAAAACAAAGGAAAGGAGGAATAAATATCATGCCAACTTTAGAAATAAAATAAAAAATTCAAAGTTGATCCTAACAAATTATTTTTAAATATTTTTTAAACTTTATTTTATATTATAAAATAATTTGTCATCTGCTAAGTTTGACTAGTTCTCAATTAAGATTTCCACTTAGAAGTTACATTACTTGAGTACTTCTCTGTTGTTTGTTTAGTTATATTCTTCCTAATGCCACTGATTTCCACCAAAAAACTTGAAAACATTAGATCCCAACATTTTAGAAATAACAAGGACTTTAGAGTTCACACTGAGACATTACAAAATATCCCAATATTATTCCTAATCCAAAGTTCAATGATATAATCTCTTGAACAAAATTTTCTTGTAAAGAAAACACTCATATCCTTAAGATAAAAAAAGAGTTAAGGATCTTAGAATGGTAAATAGTTAAAACCTTAGAATAACTGCAATAGAAACTATTTATTTTGCTTTTACATTAAACTCCTAGGCTCTTAAATACTTATCATATAGATTAGTAACAAATATTATCATGTAATGCTATTTTACTAATATTTGGGTGGTTTTAATATAAGAACTAATTTCTCAACTTTCTAAAATAAGAAAATAGCACCATCCAGTGCTCACATTGAGGATATACCTGATATTTAATGTCTTAGATATAGTGATTTCGTGTCATATGCTTTATGTGATAATTGATCTCATGTTTTTTAAACTAATGCTAAAATAAAAAAAAATTCCATGTGTAATTAGACACATCTATGTGTATAGTTAAAGAAAAAAGCAAATCCTGCCTTATTACATATAAATAGTCCAGAAAAACTTAATACATAAATGGAATTTATAAGATCATATAATAGTTTTGATTCTGAAAGGGCCTGGAATATCCTGGAAAAACCTCAGACAGCCCTAGGATTGATATAGGTTTGCCTAAGATCCTCTAGGGTCTGCTGTGGTTTGCTCTATCTCAGATTAAAGCTCAAGTCAGTGAGACGATTGTTAGGAAGTGGCAGGACCAAAAAACAGGAAGATCAAGGACAAAGTACAGTCTAGAATACATAAAGACATCAATGGGAACTCCATATAAGCAAAAGAATGAGCTAATAATAACTTATTAAATTGAACTCTAAATTTATCCTATATAACATGCTGTAAATACTCTTATTTTTTGCTGGACTATTAGGCACACGTTACAATTTGATTCTCTCCAAAACAATGTACTTACTTGTGCTAAAGGCTTGGAACTGGGATCCAACTTACTTCTGTGGATATCAAATTCGGCTCGTTTGTGCCAAAACCTCCAAGCATCTAATAAATTTCTATAATTCTCAATCCAGTACTGAACTCTTTCATCTTTAAGAACATCTAAAGGAGAACCCTAAAAAAAACATGAATTATTTCAGTTGGTTAAAAATTTCCTGGCTAAGCCAGAGGACTCTAGGTAACATGTGAGTATGAGTCACACGGAAGAATAGGCCTCCTTTTTCCATAAAGTTGGCTCCCAATGAGGATACAGATAAAATAACTGATGGAAGCTCCGTTAATTTACTTTAAGCTGGTCTCTACTAATGACATAAATAAGTACTGTATATATCATTATACCTGGCCAGGGAAGTGCAATTTTCTCTCTCTTATTTAAGTTTAAAAACTCAAGAAGCAAATAATTCACCTTCCTGGCTGAATACAGTAATAAGTGATGTGAATACTCTTTGTCCCCAAAATTAAAACCTCTGGGTTCACAAAATCTGTTTACTATCTAATCCAAATGCACAGCAAAGTTGCTCACACTTTTTTTGTGGGGCAGGGGAGAGAAGATTAGCCCTGAGCTAACATCTGTTGCCAATCCTCCTCTTTTTGCTGAGGAAGATTGGCCCTGGGCTAACATCCATGCCCATCTTATTCTACTTTATATGTGGACGCCACCACAGCATGGCTTGATAAACAGTGTGTAAGTCCACATGTGGGACCTGAACCTGCGAACCCTGGGCTGCCGAAGTGGAGAGCACGACCTTAACCACTATGCCACGGGGCTGGCCCCACTCAATCACATCTAAAATAACAGAGAAACTAGTCCTTCATTCTAGCAATGTCCTGTGACCTGAGATACTGTTTTTGTATTTATCTGAAAGTTAAACTTGTCTATTCTCTCTCCCCCTCAATAAAAACATACATTTATCACCTTAAAAATTAAAAAGAAAAAACCAAAACCAAACCAAAAGTGTTCTTAGTTCTTTTGCCCCTAGACCACAGTGAAAAGCAACAATTTCTTTTCCTTAAATTTACTTTAGATTTCTTCTCATTAAGAACTTCAATGTCTTGCCACTAAGACTTTTCCTAAAGTTACATTTCCCCCAGCAGCTGTAACATTTGTATTTCACCTATGCCTGCTCTGGGTTTTTCATAGACTGCTTTTAGCCCTGTCCAGGATATCTTCCTTAACTTCACACGATGAAGAAAGTAGAACAAGTCTCTACCTCCAATGATGCCATGGGCATCAATCTGAAGCCCAGTTTTCCCAGTCCTATTTGGGGGCCAGAGAGAAAAGTAAAATGTTAGAGAGAACTTAATATGCATCTTACTTATGGAAAAAGGTAAGGAACCTGTAACAACTAATAAAAACAATCTATCTTTAGGCATTACATCAAAATAGAAGGAGCATATCTTTCACCTATTAATTAGGTATTAATTTCAATCACCAGAGTTAAATTTAGCTAAAAGAACATGAAATGAAAAACTTTTAGCTGACAATTTCATTTCTTAAATCTACTCTACATCTACTCTAGTCCTACTTATGAACAACTACCCAGAACTAAGTACTAAAGTAGAAAATTTAAAAAGAAAATTCACAGAAAAATAAGAAATCTTCATACTTCACTCTTTCCCTTTCCGTGGCAGTAAGGATAAACTAAGAAAGAATTTGGTCAATTCATATTTGGTAAGCCTTCTCTAGATCTGCCCTGATAAAACCTAAAACCAAGCTGTGACAAAATCTGCAGAGGAAATAGTTCAGAGATTAAGTGTGGCCAAATTAGAAGGGCTTGGGAAATACCTAGGCCTTTCCACAAACCCACAGTAACAAAATGCAAGACCAAAGTGAGCAGCAAGTAACTGAACTTCCAAAAGCATTAACCAACATTCTTCAGAAAAATGTAAACAAATCCAAGTCTCTACAATGTATTATACACAACATCCAGTATTCAATGAAAAATCACTAGACATATTAAGAAACAGTAAATGTGATTCAAAGTCAAGGAAAAAGGCAGTCAACAGAAACTAAACCTAAAATAGCCCATATGTTAGAGTTAGCAAAGACTTCAATGCAACTATTAGACACATATTCAAAGATTTAAAGGAAAACAGTGTTTTAAATAGTGAACAGATAGGGATCTGAGCTGAAAAAATGTAAACTATAAAAAAATTGAGATTCTAGAACTAAAAAGTACAATAACTGAAATTAAGAATACCCTGGAAAACTTAACATCACATAGAAGGTTACAGAAGAGTCAATGAACAAATCAATATAATTTATCCAGTTTGAAGAACAGATTTAAAAAAGATGGAAAGAAAATGAACAGAGCCTCAGATACCTGTGGGACAATATCAAATGGTTTAATGTATATGTAATGAGTCCAAAAAGAAGAGAATGAGATTGAGGCAGAAAAAAACATTTAAGAAATAATGTCCAAAAACTTCCCAAATCTGATGAAAAACACTGACTTGCAGATGCAAGAAGGTCAATGAACCACAATCAGGATAAAAAGAACCACAAGTAGGCATCAAGGTTAAACTGCTGCAAATTAAAAAGAAAATCTTGAAAACAGCCAAGTTAAAATGAAACATTATATAAGGGCAATAAGATAATAGCTGACTTCTCATCAGAAACAATGGAGGTCGAAAGACCATGAAACCACATCTTCTAAAGTGCTGAAAGAAAAACAAGAGCCAAGTAGACATTTTCAGTTAAAATTAAGCTGAGAGAATCTGTACTACAAGAAATATAAAGAGCAAGATCAAAGGGAAATGATACCAAATGAAATTTGAGTCTATTGAAAGGAATAAACAGTACCAGGAATGGTAAATAAGTAAATAAATATAAAAGCCCATGTTTTCATTCTTCACATAACTTACATAAAAGACAAACTGACTGTTCAAAGCAAAAATAAAACACTGTGAGTTGGAGTTTATAACGTATGTAGAAGTAAAATATACGACAAGAGCACAAAGGAGAGGGATGTGTAAATGGAATTACACTGCTGTAACATTTGTAAAACATGAAGTATGAAGCAAAAAGTAGAAAGTGTCAGTTTGAGGTAAGAAAGGCAAAGGGTGGAGTAGGAAGCATGATGTGTCAGGTGTGAAATATGAAGTATGAGGAAGGTAAAATGTCGACTGATGAGTTAAGGATATTGTTAGACCTAGAGCAACTACTTAAAAAAAAAAAAGATAATGAAAAGGGGTATAGCTAAAAAGGCAATAGATGAAATAAAATGAAACAGTGAAATATTCAATTAGCCCAAAAAAAGGCAGGAAAAGAACAGAGGAACAAAAGGAAGAAGGAAAAACAAAATGGAAAACAGAAGCAAGATGGTAGACTTAACCTTGACCATATAAATATATAAATGGAGGAAACATCCCAATTAAAAGGCAGCTGATTATCAGAGTGGACTTTTTTTAAAGCAAGATCCAATTATACACTGTCTGCATTTTAAATATATTTTAGAAATCTTGTTAAGAGGTTACCAACCCATTTGTACTATGTAGCCATATATCAACAGTTTGATTTAATAGATATAATCTCATTTCAGTAGGAAAAAAAATGATGCATTATGTTACAGAAGGACACCTTTTCTTCCATGGGCAGTGGCCTGACACCTTAGGGTAAGTTTACACTCTGGTCTGTGGGCCAGTATCTATGTTTGTCCATAAGAAGGTAGGGTGGGGGTGGGGGCATTTTACTACGTTTAGCCAGTACACAACATGCTATCATATTGTGTAAAAGGATGAGGACAGGAAAGATGACATCACAAAAGGATAAGATTGGGTGGAGGGCTACAGGAAATCTCAGGGAAATGCTCTAAATTTTCACCATATTTCCAACAAGAGTAAAAATAGAAGGGAACCTTTGCCAGGAATCTGTTTCTAAACATTTGACAGTAAAAACTGAGAGAAAATAGATGAACTACTTACCCCAAATCACACTCATTGATAATAAAACGGGAAAATGAGTTAAGAGAGTTGTGGTATAACTTGCCTTCTGCACTTCAAGTGAGACTGTAGTTCAGACCAGGGAAAGGCAATCTCTTCTGTAGAACATGTACTTCCATCAACAATTGGAGAAACTGAAGAAAGGTTCTGCTGCTCCATTTGAGCTTTATATAAATTCAAAGCTGACACTTCCCAAAGTGAAAGGAAAAACTGGATAACCCAATGTAGGAGGCTTAGAGACAGCAAGATAAGGCAGAAGTCCTCTGTAGACCAAGCGATTAGGTTAAAGCTAAATGCCTTCTAAAGATCCTAAGCAAGCAAGGCATACCCACTTAATGAGGGAAGAAAGTACAGAAGGTAGTTAAGCATTTTTTTTCTTTAAGCTGCTGCCACACTGCACTAACCTGTAACATGCAGTAACTTGCTGTTTGGACATCTCCAGTTCTATCAACATAACTCTCCATTAAGTCCACTCCATCTTTAGTCAGGCCTGTAAGCAGTATTCCCTCCAAATTTCCAGCCTCTTTCATTTCATTGGTCAACTTTTCGATATATCTATTTAACTGGAAAATTCAAAATGATTTTTCTGAAGCAATTCGTTTTACTAGATATTTTGTATTACAAAATTTCTACATTTGTAACAATTTTACTCTTAATGGAAAACATTTTAAAACAAAAGCCTTTGAAAAATCTAGATATGTGATCTCTAAGAAGTCTGCATCTATAATAAATTGCAATGCAGCATCCAAGATCATTTAAAATACTTTTTTAAAAAGGCAAGGCATTTACTATGTTTTGATAATTATTCTATAAACGAACTAATAGAGAGTTTACTATTTTAAATTTAAATAGAACTGTCCTCACTATTCTGCAAAGTTCTTGCTGTCTACTATAGTAGGATGTAATAGAATCACAGAATCTGAGTTGGAAGGGAACTTCAAGATTATCAAAAATAACCATCTCTTGTAACATCCTCCCTCACTTCATCCCACTCCAAACTCTAGCCAAGATTCCTCTATATTCCCCCAGCACTTTCTCATTATTATAGTACTTAGCACTTTTGTATTACTAGTTGTTTATGTGCATTTCTCTTACTATACACGTAGCATATGCATTCAGTACCTGTTTATTATATTAGAAAATGAAGGAATCCTTTTATAGCATCCCTAAGAGGTGAGTTTAACATCTTTATCTACTGATCAATCTCATTCCCAAAAGCAGAAATAAACTAAAACATTAAGTCAGCATTCTTTTTTTTTGGTTAGGAAGATTCACCCTGAGCTAACAGCTCTTACCAATCTTCCTCTTTTTTTGCTTGAGGAAGATTAGCCCTGAGCTAACATCTGTGCCAATATTCCTCTTTTTGTATGTGGGTTGCCACCACAGTGTGGCTGACAAGTGGTGTAGGTCTGTGCCCGGGATCTGAACCTGCAAACCCAGGCCGCTGAAGCAGAGCATGCTGGACTTAATCACTAGGCCATAGGGCCAGCTCCTAAGTCAGCATTCTCTTTTTGTGTGTGCTGAGGAAGATTAGCCCTGAGCTAATATCTGTTGCCAATCTTCCTCATGTTTTTTCTTGAGGAAGATTAGCCCTGAGCTAACATCTGTGCCAATCTTCCACTACTTTATATGTGGGTCACTGCCACAGCATGGCTGACAAGTGGTGTAGGCCCACACCCCAGGATCCGAACCTGCAAACCCAAGCCACTGAAGCAGAACGTGCCGAACTTAACCACTGCGCCACAGGGCCAGCCCCTAAGTCAGCATTCTTAAACAAGTAAACCTAGTTATGATACATGTTTACAATATTTTGATCTAATAAATTTTTACTTTACTTTTTAGAAGAATTTATACATAAATGTCACACACACATATTTATACATAAAGATTAGCTTCTCAATCCAGTGACATAAGTACTAATCACTTCAAATACGGAATTAAATCAGTTCTTACCTGACTATCACTAAGGAATTTACAAGCAAATGCCACTCTGTCACGTACAGCAACTTTGTTTTCATACTGAAAAGAAGAGAAAAAGGAAGGAGTTACTTGTAAGTGCTATGAGTTTTAAATTTTTGAAGACTAAGTATTTTATATACCTAATATGTAATTTTATTTTCAAATGTATTAATAAGTTATGTGTATATATTGGCAGAGCTATTTATTGCCTAAGATGCCTTTCTTAATGTCTCTCTCAAGAAACTCAGTGCTAAGATTATTGTCCTTGCAAAGTAAAGATTTACCTCTTAAATACTGACCAATTCAGTTTTAAAAAAATTCCAGTTCAGTCTTATATAACTCCAGCATAAAACTTAAGTAATGATGTACAGTTTATCAAATTTAAGATGCCATGTAATCCTTCTACCATAGAAATTAATTTTGGGGAAACAGGAAATCTTTCCTTGGCTGCTAAGTTAATCAACAAGTCTAGGAAATCTGTGAATTACCAGTGAATATACCAGTGTGAATACACCAGTAAAGAATCTAGAAAGAATATCAATACAAGTTTCTAAATACAGAGTGATAAGTTTTAAAACATACCCTTACAAATAACAGGCACACTCTTGTGGCTACAGTAAAATATTGTTATATAGGTGGTTTCTGGCAAAATTTTCAGAGGCATGATAAAATAATTAAATTTTTGTATACTTGTCAATATTGTAAAACACTATTTTGAAAAGTGTTTACTACAAATGTAGAAAAGTACAACTTTGTGATAAGTAAAAAACAGTTTAAAAATGAAAAAAGACCCTATTTCCATTGAAGTCATTCCCTGAAATACAGTTTTCTTCCTTTAAATGTAAAATCACTTCAGTGGATACCTATCTTAGTGTGCTTTCTCACTCAGGAGAAAATGAATATGGTTCTGCCCTAAAGAGGGAACAGGTTTGGTACAAACTGAATTTAACTCTTAGATTCAGTTGCATGTGTTACAATTTTGATCTGCAAAGAGTTATAAATTTATCCATGTCATTTTACAGCCAAGAAAACTAAAACCCAAAATTTAACTGACCAGCTAAAGTAAGCGGCAGAGCAAGGACTCAGATCTTTATCTTCAGATTTCCAAATTCAGTACATTTCACTAGATTACTACAACTTATTTTTTTAAAAAGAACGTTAATGATAATTATTTACACATCAAGTATAATTAGGTACACTCTTGGACCTAATTCCTATCTTGAGTAGGAAGTTCATATTTCCAGCAGTTTGGAAATATGAACTTCCTACTCAAGATAATATATCCCTTATCTAATAACCCAAATTTAGGTATAAGAAGAATATTTATAATAGGTCACTTAATTTAAAATACAGAACTTTAATATTTACACAATATACTTCTTTAACCGTCAATTTAAAATTTGAACAATCCACTTCTTTTTCTAGCCTTCATCATTCTCTACCACTTCCTGAAAGTATCATTTTCTTTCTTCAAGATACATTTAAAATCTTCTGTTTAACAAAAAAGAGTACTAATACTAAAAACAACAAACAAAAAACCCAACATACTCTTGGATATTAATTTGAAGTGCTAGGAAAGTTCAACAGTAATTAATTAAAAGTAATGGACAAAATAAACTAAGGAATTGCCAAAATAGACACCAACAACATTTATTAAAATTCTCATTAAAATACCTCAATAAAATACATGTCTTAGGGACTGACATTTAAACCAATTATTCAAGCAATGTATATTTTATAAGAAATGCTTTAATGGCAAACACAGAAAAAGTTTCACATTAGAAAGCTCTTCTCAGCGCCAGAAAGAAGCCCAACAATGCAAAGAAAGTCGTGGTACTAACGTGAAGCCTAAAAACCGATACCTGAAACTGATAAGCAAATCTCACTTCATTCTTTCTTTCCCTACTTTGTGATACAGAACCCACTTGTTGATGTAGTCACAGGTGATTAAAGCAAGAGAGGAAAAAACGGCAACGAAAAGACCAAATAATGAAAAAATAAAATAGTCCGCATAATTAGTGCGATCATACAATTTATCTCCCAAACTGGAACGTGTCTGAGAATGATAAATACTAAGTCAGACAAGATATATGGTCATCCTGACCATAACTAATCATGTGTTGATTTACTTAACTAAAACAAAAGCACCACACATACTTTTTAAAAACTATATTTCAATATAATTCATAAAATTTATGTTTATATAGTTGTAGAATTCTAGAGCTTAGTTCTTAAACTAAAGGATACATACAATCCTATTCCTTCTATGTCTGTAAGTTATATTATTAAAACTATAAAAAAAAAATCAAGTTCAGTTTGCTGTCAGCTATTTAACTATAGGTTGGGAATCACATTCAAGAAGAGCTTCCCCCAAAATTTTTAAGATACTTTATTTTAAATCATATAAAATTCATCAAAATATAACAATATTTTATGCAACAGACATTTGACAATTTTAACAGATAAAAACTCCTATCTTAAAAGGAGAGTCTTGTGAAACAGAAATTAGCTTACCAATACTCCATCATAAGACCCTGTTTCACTGGTCAGAAAGGCAAACATGACACACAGATACGGGTTGTTTAACTGTAATCGTAGAGTGCTGCACATTTCTCTCCAAAGGGAGTTCTTCTCATCCGTATAACCCGATAAAGCCATTGCTACCACATTAAGATTCAGACCGCCTGCATATTAAAAACAGCCAGCTAATCAAAGTCATCAAAAGCTTAATATCTTCTTTCCAGTTCTTAAACCACACCCAAATAAAGATAAGAGGGTGACTTTTACCCCCAGAAAAATAAGCCCACTAGAATAAGGGCTTTGACTCAGACTGGAAAATTTGGCAAAGAGCACAAGCAAAAATTTCCAACCTTATAAAACTTCTGCCCACACTGCAAACCCTGTGCAGTACAAGTACATCTTTTAATTGTCAAGTTCTCATTCCAGGCAGCTTCCTACACAGTATGTTATTGCTTAGGGCCTAAATGAAGAAAAGTGAAGCCATCCTATACCAGAATCATCATCAACTTTATCAACAAGTTCATTTATGTTAAAATATTTCAAAGCATTGATAGTAAATATTACTGTATCTTAGGGCTGCAATTTTCAAAATCATTTTGTTTTCCCATTCCTAAATATATAATGTATATACTTAGGTTTATGTTTTAACTGCAAGGTACTGAAAGCCAATATTTCAGCTTCCTTAATATAGCAGTATACTTTTAATTTTTCTAGGACAAAATTAACCATCAGAATTACCACAGAATTGTATTTAGACACGTTTTCAACAAAGCATTTGTTACCAATAGTCTTTTAAACATTTGTTCTTAGCAGTTTATGTGGCTGCTGATAAGCTGCTAACCTGGCAGTCAGCCCTATGGCTGCCTAGGCTTCTGACATAAGTTTAGCTATCAAAGAGAAAAGTAAATTCACCTTTACCTTTTACTCTTAAGTATTTTCTACATTTATTATAGCAGCTTTTGTATTCTGTTTCTTGATCCTAATCATTTTATTTTCCAAATAAAAGAGCATTTCCCACTTTATGTTCTTAGCTTTGTTCTTCATTCCTATAAACACTTTCCCCAGTTACTTTGTGCTTGCTTCCTCTGCCTACTCTATTAAAATAGATTTAAAATCTTTTAAGATTAAAAAACAACAACAAAGGAATGTCTTCTTTGAATCCTGCTTAGAACAATTTATTTCCGAACAATTTATTTCCAAATGGAAAGGAATATTTGATTCAGGGAAATCTTTTCTTCAGTCCTTAACTAAGCTATTGAAATCACTGGAAAGATACTTTTCACCTATTGTTACTATGGGTGTTTAAATCTAACACCAACATTTCCAAGTACACATGACAGGGAAGTATGTTCCCAGGTCGTAGCAAATTACAACTAGAAATGACTTTAAATATCAATTCTTTTTTCCATCACCGTATATCTTCTATTGCACTCTCAAATGGGGAAGACTTACGTTAGAGCAAAAGTGAAGGAAAAGAGGCCAATCTGGGCAAAACATTAGCTTTGTCAACTTTTAGACTGCAAGTAAATATATTACAGTTAATTTCATGTTTTTCTCTATGGTACAACAGAGCTGTAATGGTTTCAAAATGGATCAGCAAATAAGAATTAAGTATTATGAATACTCAAAAATAATTTGCTAAGCTAAATAATTAGGTATACAATAAATAGCTGATAATTTGCAAATATTGATATTAAAAATCAACAGCTATATACATGTTAGGTATTTTCAAGTGAAACATTCCTGATAAGAAAAAAACTGAATTTCTGGCTTAAGATTTATTTCTCTGAGTATTCTCTTGCAAAATGTCAGAGTAAAAACTTTATCATATTTCATTACTTCTTCCTTTTTAACTACATTTAATTCTCCAGACTCAAGTAGAAGCATTTTTGCAGGTCAAAGTATCATTTTTATAAGAATCTATATTAGTCTAACTAAAAGTATCATTCAGAGTTTCCTAAAAGTCAACAAATAACCATCCAAAAGACAAAGTATAAACTAAACTATACTCAAATGTTTGCCATAAAAATACATGCAAACTAAAGTAGTCCTAATCTCCAAGAAAACACATTTTAAAAATGTATCTTTAAAGAAAAAACATTGAAAATGGACACATTTGAACATTCCTTATAATCTTATTAAAATAACAATTAAGATACAGTCTCTTTTTTATAGACATAAACCAATGCATAAACAAAAGGGATGGGCTAATATTTACTTTTCTAGCTACAGTTCTGTGCTAATTTCTCTTTCAAAAAAATTACATAAAAATAGATTAGATTTTTGAAAATTATCAGCATCTTTTCTTTAAAGGATTCTATGAACTGCAAGTATCTTAGAAAATAACCTTTTTCTGACGATGCCCCTTCATTCAGGATTTGGATTGCTCGTCGAATATCCAAGTTGAACAATGCCACAGCAGCAGCTCTCTCCCATTCCCCTTCTTGCACAAGGGAGTTCAAAAACGGCCCCACATCTAGATCTGTTCCTTTCTTTATCCACCCACAAAGCTGTAAAGCTAAGATCCTCTCTTCATTTAAATTCTGAATATCAGTTTGCTTATCCAATCCACTCCAACTATGTCTGCTGCTCTCCACCATTCCTAAAAAGAGAAACATTTTTATATTAATTGCTTTATTATTAGTTTTTGAAATATATTTGGAAAATAAGTCAGTTTTACAGAGAAATATTTCAACAGCAGATTTTGAATATCTGACTTCTCAGCCACAATTTTATGACACCATAAGTGTAAAATATGCCACAAACAAAACATATTTTACATATTTGCTAAGTACAATAGATTCTCAAGTTATCAAAAACAGCTATTGAATATAAGAGTGAATGCTCGATGGACCAAGCTGAGTCACTGCTTCAGAGAGGCCTCCCTGACCACCTAATCTAAAATAGGGCTCCACCTGTTATTATCTGACTTACCATTGTTTCCTCTATTTCCTTTAGCACTAACATAAGCTCCCATATTTTATTTATTAATTTATATTTCAGTCTTAATCTCTTCTTCTACTAGAACATAAGCTCCAAAAAGGCAGGCATCTTGTCTGTTTTATTTGAAAGGTATCCCCAGTGCTTGCTCTCTCTGTCCCTCCCCTACTTTCTCTGTCTTTCTGCTCTGTATGTATGTATATATATATGTGTGTGTGTATATACATATATACACACACACATATGAAAAAATGAGACCATAAACATCAAAGTACTCTGAAAGTTTAAGGTAAGTACTAAAGCTAAAATACAATGAGGATAATCTGAAGGTGTTTTCTCCCCTTACTACCTCAGGAGACTTGATATTCTCATTCTGTCTTCATAAGGAACCTAAATAATTCTTGTAGCATTTAGATTGCAATCAAGGCAGTTGATCTTAAGGGATGATAATTTCAGTTAGGATGACACTTGGTGTAAAATAAAAGTAAAACAAAGACAAAACTTAAGGACTTTATTAATTGCAACTCAAATTCTTAAATGTTCTAGAAAGTCTTATCATCAAAATTTTCATCATGTAATTATCTATTGTTATTTTAACAAAAAGGATTTTCAGAATAAACTGAATTAGAAATTAGGCAGCTAAAATGTCTGACATTACAAATGTCTTTTATTAGCAGTAATTTACATTTGTAATTTACAGTAATTCTACATTTATATAATTCCATGTAATACAGTAATTATACATTTGTAAATAACTAGATCACTAACAAATAAATAGGTTTTAAATAATTTAACTTGTCTGGTAGGCAAAATTATAAGATGGGCTTCATGGTTCCTGACCCCTGGTAACCACATACTTGTATAATCCCCTCCCCTTGAGTACAGGTGGAATCTATGACTTGCTTCCAAACAACAGAATATAGTACAAGTGAAAGCATTTTGCAGGTGTAATAAAGGTCATTACTCAGTTGACTCTGAGTTAATCAACAGATTATCCTGTTTGGGCCTGACTTAATCAGGTGAAACCTTTAAAAGAGCGTCTGGAGGTAAGAGAGAAGCAGCAGGTGAGTGAGTCTCCTGCTGGTCTGGAAGTAAAAGCTGCCATGTTGTGAGTGGGTCTGTTAGAAGGCCATGTGGCAAGGAAATGTGAGCAGCCTCTAGGAACTGAGGGTGGCCCCTGGCTGATAGCCAGCAGGGATATCTCAGTCCTACAACCTCGAGGATCCAATTCTGCCAACAACTATATGAGCTTGAAAGAGTAGTCCGACCTCCAGAAAGGAACAAAGCTTGGCCAACACCTTCATTTTAGCCTTGTGAGACCCTGAGCAGAGGACCCAGTTAAGTTGTGCCCAGACTCCCTGCCCATGGAAATGATGAGATGATAACTACATACTGTAGAAAACTAATATACTATCCAAAGTTAACCTTAGCTATACTCAGTCTGATCATGCATTAAAGGGATAAACACAAGCAAAAATGGGAAAATATTAAAAACAAAATCAGTTGTCATTTGCAAGTCAAATGTGTGTATATATAATGCAAAGCATTATTTCTTAAAATTCATTGAGTTTAAATACTTGGAAAGAGCAAAAACCGTACACAGCAAAAGTCTAAACTCTCTATTGTACCTAATTCATACTTTTAAATAGCTTGTTATATGATATTAGGTAATGGCAAAAGTCTACAATTTCATTCATATTAGGACACATTTTAAACTATATATCATTGCTTTATGAAAACGTTTCAAGATGCGTTACGTGTAAAATTTTGGAAATTTTAAAAAGTTAAATAATACACTCAAAATTACTTATTTTTAACCTTACTACTGGCAACTGTTGCCAGCTCAGGTCAAGGATTTTAGAGGAGACTTATGAAAAGAAGTTTTCTTCCTTTAAAAAGAGGAAGCATGCTGCTCTGTTTGCAACCATGAGGGAAGTCAGTCGAGACAAAATCACTTTTAACTTTTGGAAGTGAAATTTTAAGCACTATGAGAAAATCTTGAATAATTAAATGATTAAGTTAATAAACACATGTTAAAAATTAGAACATTATTTTCCTGAATAACTAAATTGTTTAGATAGAATGTAGTCATTAAATTTCAGGTAGAACAAGCTGCAGATGGAATGTAAGGTATTTATTTTCCTATCTCCCCTATAAATTTTGGATTCACTGCTGATGATATTACTTAATTAATGGTAAAAATAACAATTTTAAACAAAAAGCAGCAATTCATTTTCAAACAATTCCTCACAGTTTATAATTTTTATTTATTTATTTATTTTTTCCCCCAAAGCCCCAGTAGATAGTTGTATGTCATAGTTGCACATCCTTCTAGTTGCTGCATGTGGGACGTGGCCTCAGCGTGGCCGGAGAAGCGGTGCATCGGTGCACGCCCGGGATCCGAACCCGGGCTGCCAGCAGCAGAGGGCACGCACTTAACCGCTAAGCCACGGGGCCGGCCCCTCACAGTTTAATAATATTCCAGTTTTTAGAGTTTTTATTTTCTAGAAATTATATCATGGAATAGAATAGAGATCAAAAAATATGAATCCAAAGAGTTAATTTAATTGCTGGGAGGTAGAAAAATATCCTGTAAGTCAAGTGCATAGACATTGTGTCAGGTATTTTGGCTGCTCAGAGACCTTCTTATAATTATGATTGATAACTATGCTATACAGGTAATTAGGGTTATCAAATAAGCAATGTGATATTATTGTGGGTTTTTAAGTATATAGTCATATTATGATTATTAATATGTATGAATTTTTAAATATATCATTGTAAAATATCTCTGAAAAAGAATTAAAATCTACTTATGCATGTTATGCAATATTAAAATGACAAAATTGTATCCCCCAAATTTGAGATTATCCTATACATAAATAATACAATCAAGGTTTTATTGATAGTTGCAAAGGAAATAAGTTCACTTAAACATTAAAAAACGTTTTTAAAAAAAATTTGTTTCAAATATTACACCAATCAGACACTATGCTATTTGTAGATAGTAATTTGTTGCATTTTTACAACTATGTAAAAACAAAGCAGTAAAATTATCCAGTGTTTATAAGAACATTTTGTTGTTAAAAACACTAAGTCCTAGCTATTCTGCCCCTTAAAGTCACTCTGAATACACAAGTTCTCTAGATCAGGGTTCTTCTCTTTAAGCATGAAAAATATTTTCATCATGTTGGATGGAAGCTGACCAACATTTATTGTACAATTTTCTGCCATCTTTAAAGGAAGGAATTATACCTACCGACAACATCGTGACCACTGTTCTACAAGACTGTACAAGACATTTCCTCAGAATATGCATTCTCATCCTGGTTGATTTCAACATTTACAAGTCTGTCCAGTAAACTAGCCTCTCTCTTCCTTTGCTTCCTTATCTCCAGTGATCTACACCTCCAAGACTTTACCCATTCCTTTCACGGACACACTCCAAATTATTCCTTCTCCAAAAGAGCCACTTTCTAACCACAACCTCATAGCCTTCCAGAAATCTCACTTCTATATTCTTCAACCTCACAATCCCTTGACCACTCATATTTTTACTTATCAGTCTTCTCCTGTCATTTTCCTCCCTATCCAAGTTAGATCCCAAGGACCCACAAATGAATCATTCTCTTGCCAATATCCTTAATTCTCTTGTCCCATTGTCCTGTATTCTATCTTCTGGTAAAACAGCACTGCCCCACAATCCTCCAATGTTTATCAAGAAAACTCTCTTCTTCTCCATATCTTCTCTCCACAACCTCCCTGCTCCTTTTCAACAAGCAAGTCTACTACATTGAGAAAATAGGAGCCATCAGGTAGAAAACCCTTCAGCCTCTGGTCATTGAACCTTAAACAACTTGCATACTCTCCCCCTTTCCCTCTGGCTAATATGGAGAAAGTCTACACGCTCTTATCTAAAGATAATCTTTCACCTCTGCTCTCGATCCCATTCCCTCCCATTCCTAGGAATTTTGCTCTTCACTCCCTTTTCTCTGCATAGTTAACCTTTTTCTATAGGCCTCCTCATGCCAGCATTTAAACATGTTTAAATGAATCCCATGTTAAAAACAACACAACACAAAAGCCCTCCCTTGACCCCAGATTTGCCTGCTGCTACTGCTGTATATATTTTTATCTCCTTCATATGGTCAAATTTCCTTAAAGATTTAAAATGGATGACTTCACTTCTTCAATCTACTCTAAATTTCTTGCCCACTGGACCTCTCTAGCTTTCTATCTCAAATTCAACTTACTCCAAAATAAACTATTCTTTTCTTCTCAATGCACTTTTCCTATGTTATTCCTATCTAATTGACTGGTACCCTTGTAACCCAGTTTCCTAAGCTAAATATATGTATGCTATCTTTCACTCTTCCTTCTCCTCCATCCCCTTTATCCAAATAATCATTAAATTCTGTCCCACTCTCTAATTTATCCACGTTTCTCTAGATCTCCTGCCACTAACCTTGGTAAGAACACCATCATATCTTGCCTGACTACTGTGGCTTCTATCTGAGATCATTGCTATCAGTCTTGATCCTCTCCAATTCATTCCACACAGAGTGACACCTCTAAAACACAAATTTAATCCTGCCACTACTCTTTAAAATCTTTCCTTGGTTTCCTCGTTACAGGATGATAAATCTCCCTAATTCCTTACCATGATTTCTAAGTCCTGAGTTACCCTACTGCCTACCTTCAGGCCTCCATTCTTTCTTCACATCCTTTCCCGCGCTCTATTCCAGCAACACTGAATGTGTTATGCTCCTTCTCCTCTGGGCTCACTGCTTATGCTGCTCTCTGTCTGGACCTTGTCTTTGCCTCTTCCTCCTCCAGGAAACCTTCTCTAATCTCTACAACCAGATTAGGAATTCTTCTACACATAACTGACTGTTCTTCCTCATGTTGCAACTGCCTGTTTACTTGTCCATATTCTGAACTAGAATGTAAACTCCCCAAGAGCAGGGATGATATCTTATTCAATCTCCAGGAAGGAGAAGAAAGAGACTTATCTACCTTGCTGATAGTTATGTCTCCAGTTCCCAGGACAATTCTTGGCACATAGTGAGCAAGTAATAAATAGTTGCTGAATGAATAAACTTACCTCATATTCTAGTTATAAGAATTAAATACAGTAATATGAAGAAAGCAACTAGCATGATGTCTAATTCACAGTAAGCATTCAATATATATTATTTGTCACCAAAGTTAAAATTTAGCTGTGTGCTCCAATAAACCTGTGCGTTAGACTACTATGGGCAAAATGGCTCAACATGTTGACTTACTATGTGTTGAATTATTAGAGATACAATTACAGAAAGAAGTACGGCCAGATAAAATAAAAGACTGAAACTTAGGAGTGCCATCTTTGACAGTCATTTCTCTACTTTTTACCTTTGGGTAGTAGAAACAAAAATATCTAAACCAAACCAAACAAAAAGCTGAAAGTCTAGCAATGAGGAAATCTTTCCAGTCTTTTTCAGTCTGGGTAAAGACTACTTTTGACTCAAGTCAAGATACTCAGTTACTCTCTACTGCACCAGAAGCACATAAAGATATTCCACTTTTCCCTTTGCTTTTCCTCAAGGTAGTTTGTTGGTTTTTCCCTAAAATATAGCAAAATACTATAAAAACAATAATAAACCTCAGAGTAACTAAGAATGCAATGTGGCCTGACCTACTTTATAGCTAAAATACTAAAAATTCTATAAACTTGATGTTTAATTCTTTGCAGCAGTGGTTCTAAAATCATGAACCATGGTATTCAGGTTCGTTTACAGGTGTAATACAGTATATCAGCCCTTTTACTTATATTAGTAAAAATGGCAGTTTCTAATTGAACTCATTAATTTTATTATTTATAATAAGAGTTACTTTTTTGGTGGAAAGCTCATGAGAGAACACCAAAATTAAATAGATCAGATAAGACTACTGCATCTCTCAGCAATGTGGATCAAAGGAATTTGAAAGTGCTTTTAAAAAAAACCTATAATAATATAAGTTTAATTGAAATGCTTAACCTACTGTTATTAAAAAATAGCATTGTATTTTATATAATTTGTATAGTATTTAGGGAAGTTCTACTAAAAACTAAGTCGGATTTATTACTTCTACTACTACTCTTTGATTAATTAACGTGAACTACTTTTCTGGCAGCTTAACTTGGGCCCAAATACGACTGTTATCAAAAGCTAGATACTGAATCCTAGGTTGGGGAGATGATTATAATATAAACCACAATTCAATTCCAATAAAAACAATAACAACAAGTGTTTAAAGAAGTTAGTGAAAAAATAATAAGTTTGGCTCTTTCGTCATCTTTATTTTATTCTTAAATAGTTTATCAATACCCATCCTACATTAATTCATACATTCATCCAATCATCAAGGACTATTTCAGGCAAGTCTCCTTTAGGTAAGGCCATACTTCATGTCAGTTACATAGACCTTCCCATTAAATAGCTAAGTGCAAGTATTTGGGCAGCAAAATGAAAAGAAAGTCTCCTATAATTAGTAATCTTTTTATTTAGTTTTTATAAAAGCAAAATACTCTGATAAAATCCAAACTAACAACCAGGATCCTATAAATCATCTAATGTAATACCTCTCAAAGCGGATCTTCAAAAAAAATAACATTGAATAAATGAGTGAACAGATTTAGAAAGTCAATATCACTTCAAAGAACCAAGACTTCCTCCAAAAGATTTTGGATATAAAAACAATTATGCATTTAACCCAACAATTCACTAAAGTATCTAATCAGAAATAAAAAAAAAAAATTTATGTACACTATCCTGAAATAACTAAATCATGGGGAAAAAGAGTACAAAAATTACAAACAACTGCAGAAAATAAAATGGAATTTTCTTACCCAAAGATGATTTTACAATTGATTTAATTCCTGCATAAACCAAGGATCCTTTGTTGCCTGGAGATTTCTGATCCATATCTTCTGTATACTGCTTCATAAGTATTTAAATGCATAGGAAATACTAGTAGTGAGCGTAATAAAATATTTCAAAGCTAAATTTATTTTGATTTGGAGCCAATTCATAATAGGCATCAGTGCAAATAAGGTGGTTCTACTCTATTGTAGAGATATACTTTTCTTCTTCCTACACAATCTGCAAAGCAGTATTTCCAGTTCAACAGTTTTAAACAATTTTACTTTGTAATTTTAGTATAATGCAACTGGTATTTGCATATAAAACATTCAGCATTATATTTACAGACTGACCTTTTGGCAAACTTCAAGAACATTTCTACCCGATTCATCTCACAAAATTGACAATGCAAAGGATATAGTGCAGAGTATACCAGAGTGACTTGAGCTGTGGATCTTCATTTCCAGCTAAAATATGGTTTCTCCACACCTGTTCTGTATCAAGTCCGTACCTTGATAAAGCCCGAAGGCGCATCTTCGTTGCTATATCTTTTTCTAAAGAATTATCATTTTCTTCTTCTGCACATTCATACAAATGACGACCACAAGCCCACATTAAAGATGTAATTGGGCTCCACGCAAGAGATATCCTTTCAAAAACAGTGAAGTCAGACATTGTTCGGTTGGGAGTTAGAACTATCATTCGATTTTGACTTGTTGGATGCCAAGCAAAGGAAGCAATGTAATTGTCACAAGGCTGCACACTTCTTTCGATTATTGTGGGTTCAGTTTCATCCCCAATGGGAGTGGGTGTGTGCTGCATATCATATAATCTAATAATGTTACTATCCCTTGTTAAAGTGGCAAGCAGACCAGTCCTAGTTGGACACCATGCTACTTTTGTTAAGGGCTTTGGTTGCTCAGTCAAAGTCAAAACTGGCTTCTCGAATTTCCTAAGATCCCATATTGCAACCTGACCTTCATAGAAGGAAGCAACACGATCATGGAAGTATGGGTCTACTGTCACCCCCTGAACAGCTTTTGTATTTACAAACATCTTTTGGCTTGTATTCCGAAGATCGAATATGGCTAAGTTACGATGCATACCAGCAAGGAGAAGTTTCTGGTCTCGTGGAAGCCAACAAAGAGAGAGACAAGCATCATTCTGTCCTAATTCATAAAGTGGTTTTGTTACTAATAATGTTGTTTCAGTTTCACCTGCTGAAAGTCTCACTTTCTCCATGGGAACTATATCAGGAGTATATTTGCTGCAAATATCCCAAATCAGCACTGAAAAATCAGCTCTATGTTTATCTAGACCAGCAGCGAGCCAGTTACTATCCAGTGGATTCCATGCAAGGGTATTACACTGTCGTGCATGTTTTGGAACAAATTCTTTTCCTATCAAATCTTTGAACTTTGAGTTATGATCTTGACCAAGACTTGTAAGCACAACTCGACCATTTGCTTGTCCAACTGCTAGGAGACATTCAGGATCATAATTGAGATACCAGGCAACACATTTCATGTAGGGTGTATCTGAATTTATTGATAGTAATGTAGCCGCAGAGTCTTCAGATAAACGTAAAGATCCGGCTTTGAGTTCTGAATTCACAGTAGATTCCACATGATAAAGGCTCAGTTCTGAGTCACATACAACAAATCTATCAACCTGGTGTGGTGCCCACAATATATCAGGTTTGGTACCACTCATGTTTACTGATGTGCTCAAAGAGTCCAGTCAGGTCCATTCACTGAAAATCTGTTTAAAAATAAAAAGTTTTAAAATGTCAACAAAATACAAGTGTAAGGTGAATAAACTATTCAGAAAGTCACGGAATTCTCTATACAGGTACCCTGTTTTTCAATATATTTGTATTTCTTCTATTTGCTATGAATTCAAGACAATATTTATTGATTAAAAGGGAAAAAGAAGCACTTCCTCCAATAAGATGAGCTGGTAGGAATCAGAGAACTCCATTCTGGCTTTATTTCCCATGATCAATTATCTTAATTGTACTGTTACTAGTACCTTCAATTTAACTTTAGGATTAAAATAACTTCAGTGTGGTGACCAAATTAATAAGTATCAACCCTTTGAAGGGGACAAAACTTTAAAGGGTTATGAATCATGTTCCCAAGCAATAGTTTGGAGCGGCACTATCCAACAGAACTTTTTGCAATGATAGAAATGTTCTATATCTCTATCGTCCAACACGGTAGCTACTAGCCACAATTGGCTACTGAGCACTAGAAGTGCAACTAGCACAAATTTTAAATTTCATTAATTTTAATATAAATAGGGGCCGGCCTGGTGGCACAAGCGGTTAAGTGCGCACGCCCCGCTGCGGCGGCCTGGGGTTCGCGGGTTCAGATCCTGGGGACGCGCCGACGCACTGCTTGTCAAGCCATGCTGTGGCGGCATCCCATATAAAGTAAAGGAAGATGGGCACAGATGTTAGCCCAGGGCCAGTCTTCCTCAGCAAAAAGAGAGGAGGACTGGCATTGGATGTTAGCTCAGGGCTGGTCTTCCTCACACACACACAAAAAATATATAAATAGCCACATGTGGCCACCATGATAGACAATGCAGATTTAAAGTACAATGCTACTAGTAAGCAGAGGTCTCCTCCTCAACTTTCAACAGTAAGAAGCAGCCCTATAAGGCAGAATAAACACTGGAAAGTTTATTGAGCAGAGTTGAGTTCTATTCCTAGCTCTGACATACATTAGCTGCACGCCTTGGAAATGCCTTGTGTTTGGGGGTTCTTTCATTTTCTCATCTATACAACACAAGAGTTGGTTTAGATCAGTGTTTCCCAAGCTTCAGTTATTCACATACCACCTACGCTATCATTTAATATTTTTCTTTAAATTGACTCATTTCTAAAATCTGAAAATCAATTTTAACCTCATCGTAAGATCCATAAATCATGGGTATGATATGCTAATTATATTTTTCTAACATACATTAAATGTATAACTATTAAACATGCTTGATTTTGTTTTACCTAAAATCATCCTGTTTACAACCAGTGGTACACACACCGCACTTTGGGAAACACTAAGTGATCATTAGAGGTTCTTTCAGTTTTCAATTCTATAAACTTTGAATAAGTATTGAAATAGGACTTTTGAAAAGATAAATATTCTACCAATTTAAGCACAAACTACAAACAGCTATGTTAGAAATGTTAATTTAATAATAAAAGCTACCTACAAAAATTTAAATTTCTATTTCTAACCAAGTCTGGCTAGAGGGTATAGTCTGGATTAAAAATGAACAAAGATACTTACAATCTTCACTGCAATTAGTAACTATACAACCATGTTGTCAGTTCTTAGAAGGTGAAGCTATGGTTCATTCATCTCTCTATCCTCTATACCAGATATAGAGCCTGGCACAGACTCCTAATAAAGATTACTAAATAAATTCAACTCAAACATACTCGCTTTACTTTTTGATCTTGTAAAAGTTTCACTTAGGAATTATCAGTATAGAATTTCAATAGATTCATAAAATTTAGATGACCAGAAAAAACCTCTAAGAATTCTCACACTGGCTTATCTCCTTCCTTAACAGTTCTGAAGCCCAAGATCAATCATTTCAATTATCTTCTTACTAGTACCCTCAATTTCTTCGTTTCTTTGCCACTTTGGGTTTGCCTTTCCCAACCCTAGATCAACCCAATTATTTACTGTCTTCTTTCCTCCACTCAGGCTGCCAAGTCTCATAGCTCTGCAGACTGACTCCACAAGAAATTAAGGTATACAGCACGTCTGGCCTGTGGTGCTGGTTCAGCAATTCTTTTATTCATCTTTCCACTCTGGCCTTTATGAAATTCATCTTTATATAATACCATAATGATCTTTTTAAAATACAAACTTAACCAGGCTGTCTAACTGCGGTTTAAAACTCTCTAATGCTTTCCAACTGCTCTTAATACAGAGTTCCAAATCTTCAACATAACGTATAAAACCTTAAATGCCTTGGCCTCTATCTACTGCTCTGGCCTCAAGGCACACCATTCTCCCCCTTGCAAACTGTGTTCTAGCTACATTGTCCTTCTTTTCACTTCCTAGAATGTAACCCCCCTCCCCCCATCACCACACCTTTGCAAATGCTGCTCCCTCTGCTTGGAGCATTCTTCCCTCCCTTCTTGGCCAAGTTTTGATACCTGCTCAACCTTAACATCAATTATACTCTATCCCCTCCCCAGTCTAAGTTAGGTTACTGAGATATATACTCTCATTGAACAGTGTTTCTTCCCTTTAAATCACCTTTTCTGTCTCTCCTACTAGATTATAAGCTCCATAAGAGCAGGTAAAGTTATCTTTTGCTCTCCATTTGTACCACTAGTACCCAGCACAGTGCTAGGGACTTAGTGGATATTTCATAATTATTTGTTAAATGCTCCCTGTGATGCTTCTCACACTGCTATCCCCAAGTTTTACCAATCTCCTCATGCTTCCACCATTACCCTTCCTGGTAGAGGTTGGCTTCAGCCAAGAGCAAACTGCCTACTGTCATAACTGGTTCCAATAATGGGCAAGAGCCCAAAGTGAACCACCCTAAGAAAAGATCACTCTAATATACTATCTTTCATTTATTCTGTAAATATTTATTGGGCATCTACTATGCTCTAGACACTGTTCTAAATGCTGGGAACGCAGTGGTGAACAGGGAAACATAAGGCCTCTGGTTGCTATTGACTAAACTGTGTCCTCCCAAAATTCACATGTTGAAGCTTTAATCCCCCATGTGACTGTACTGGAGATAGAGCCTCTAAGGAGGTGATTAAGGTTAAACTAAGGCATAAGGGTGGAGCCCTGATTGGATAGAACTGGTGCCCTTATAAGAAGAGGAAAATACCGGAGCTTTCTCCCCACCACATGAGGACAGTGAAAAGGAAGCTGCCTGCAAGCCAGAAAGAGAGCTCTCACCAGAACTGGGCCATGCTGGCACCCTGATCTCAGACTTCCAGTCTCCAGAAATGTGAGAAAATAAATTTCTGTTGTTTATGCCACCCAGTCTATGGTATTTTGTTACGGCAGCCCAAGCAGACTAATATACTAGTCTAATACAGCCTGCATTCTGGTGCTTAAGTTATGTCCAATCTTAAAGAGAATTTAAAAATTTAAGAATGAGAAGAGAGGAACCTCTTGTAATAGGAAGTAGCTAAGACAATAAAAAGAAAGAACAGATACTGCCAAGTAACGGTTCATACTCATGCCCTCACAAACAGAGGAAACCTCTTAATTTGAGGTATCCTGAGATTTGGCCCATCTTCCTATCTCAATAAGAGATAAATGCTTAAATAAGCACACTTTTTATCTAGGCTTCCATCACTGACTGGACTCATTAAACGAAACATCTAAGGTAAGAAAATTTGGTGCCACATAGAAATTTCCATCCTAAAAAACACAAATAGAAAGTATTACTGTAGTTTAAAAAACTATTTGATTTACATGACTCTCAATGGAGAATCATCAGCATTTCTTTCGACGTTGTGCATGTAAAATATTTATATCGCTATCTACAAAATCTGATTACAGTAACTCACACAGAATCAAAGAACTTGAGAGCTAGGAAGAGAAGAGCAAACCCTTCTCAATTCACGTAGGAGTAAAGGGAAGACCAGATGTTTTGGTTCTTGTCCAATGCCTCCCAACTCCCATCCTAGATTATGCATAAAGAAAGGATCAGCTACATCATTTGCAAAATGAAAATACAGGGCCCACTATTAAAAAATTATTAAGAATTTCAAGATGGTGACAGCTGAGCATTAAACCAAGTGCCAGCCCTTCTAAATGATGGGCCTCGTGTGACTGCAGAGGTTGCATGCCATGAAGCTAGCCCTGAATAGAGAAGTATACCTATAAGCACCCTCTTAAGAAATATATTTCTTTACAATCCAATACACAATATAGATGGATCCTAACTCATGAACATTATCACTAGGAATATGGTGGAGAGCAGAGAAAACTGAACCCGGAATCGAAAGACCTCCAGCCACTCTAGCCACTAGCTAGACCCTAAGAAGTCCCTTAATAGTCCAAGACCCGGCTGGCCTCGTGCATAGCGGTTAAATGCGCATGCTCTGCTGCGGTGGCCTGTTCTCCGGATCCCAGGCGCACACCAACGCACTGCTTGTCAAGCCATGCAGTGGTGGCGTCCCATATAAAGTGGAGGAAGATGGGTATGGATCTTAGCCCAAGGCCAGTCTTCCTCAGCAAAAAGAGGACTGGCGACAGATGTTAGCTCAGGGCTGACCTTCCTCACACACAAAAACAAACAAAACAATAGTCCAAGACAAGAAAATGGAGATACGATACGCTCTATCTCATAAAGCTGTGACAATCAAATTAAATGAATTCTTCACATCACGTGTGTTAGTATCACTACCATTTCCTTAAACAGCCCTGGAAGTTAGTGTTTCCAAATGCTGGAGATATTGAAAAATTGGGAGTAGAAAGGGTAGGACTTGCAATAATTAGAGCTTACATTTAGATCTTCACCTTCAAGGTTAACAAGTACTCCATTCCCATCAATGGTTTCTGAGCAAAGGAAAGACATGTTGATTCTGTGTTCCTCACTAGAACATGTATAACAGCATTGTCCGACAGAAATAGAGCGTGAGCCATATGATTTAAAATTTTCTAGTAGCCACATTGAAAAAGTAAAAAGAAATGTATGAAATTAAATTTAACAATATATTTTACTTAACCCAACATATCAAAAAGTATTATCTTTTCCAACATATAACAATGTAAAAATTATTAGTGAGAATTTTTACAGTTTTTGGTCTTGGAAATCCAATTTTACACTTACAGCACATCTCAACCCCGTGTGGCTACTGGACAGTGAAGATCTATAATACCAAGTGTACCAGGTATTCAATCTCCCTTTCACATCCTTCTTGTTGTTGTCTTCTATTTTTCTATGACACATAATAATAGTAGCAGTTTCAAGAAATTTCCACCATCACCATCTTCAAGGAGATGCACTGTATATATCCAAATTCCCCATAAAATATTAGTTACACAAAAGGCCTGCAAATGCAGTCATTTGCTAAGCAATTTAGCAATGCCCGTGGCATATGTCAGAAGCTTTATTCATCCTCTAATGGAGTTTTCATCACTCGTTTCTGCAGAGAACAGCGCTAACCGGGCGACAGGCCCTTTAAGAAGTATTTAATCGAGTCCAACTAGAGCCAGGAGCGTCGCTATTCCGGGTCAACCAGGAGTCCGAGGGCGACTCCCACGCTCCCGACACCCGGCGGAGCGTCTCGTCCAGGGCGAGGCCGCGGTTCCGCACCCGCCCGCCGCGGCGGAGGCTGCAGCGCGGACCCACCGCCCGGGAGGAGTCCCCGCGCACCCTCCGGCCGCCCGCAGCTCCGCGGCTCCCTCCGAGGCCCGGCCGGCCGCCCGGCGCGGTTACCCCGCAGCGCCGAACGCTCCTGCCCGCGCCCCGCGCCTTGGCTCGGAGGAGGCCCCGGGGCCGCCCCCGTCCAGGCCTTTCAACCGGGCTTTCCCGGGCCCCTCGCAAGGCCCCCGGCGCCCCTACCCGAGCCCGCGACCCGACCCGGGCCTCCCTGTCAGGAGAGCAGCGACGCGGCCCAGGCCGCACTCACCGACCTGAGGAGGCAGCGCGGCCAACGCACAGCCGCTTCCGGCCTGGTCGCCGCCCCTCTCCCCACGGGAATCCGGACACGCGCAAGATGGCGGGGCGGCCAGTAACCTAGGCCACCGCGCCCGGGCCCACGCCCCGCCACCTCGCCTCGGCCTCGGAGGAGGGATTCCCCGCCCTCGAGCCCCGCCTTTCGCTCGCCCGGGAGTCTCACCGCCCCGGGGCGGGGCCACTGCCCAGGAGGCCCCGCCTGCCGCCCGAGCTCTCCGGGGCACCCCAGCAGGCCCCGCCCCTGGACACGCCGGCGGGATCCGAGCACGCGGACTTGCACGGCTTCACGGAGCTGCGCTGTCGTCTTCAGGGGGCTTCACACACTTGAGCTCGTTTGATCAGTTGAAATTTCATTAAAAATTTATTGCGGGCCATCAATGTAGTAACAAGTCCGGAGTATTTGGTTCACAATTAACTCATATACTCATTCCACAAACAGGTCTTGAGTGCCTTGTGTGCTGGAATGGAGGGGAGACAGGAATGAACGGAAAAGACACGGTCCCAGCAGGAAACAGGCAGTTAGAGTGTTGCCTTGTTAGGGCTAATACAGTGCTCCACAGAAGGGGCGCCCCTCTAGTGTTGGGGGTTCAGGAAGGCTTCATTGAGGACCATTAGGCTGAGACAAGAAGGATGAATATGGGTTTAGCTGGGAAAGGGAACAGGGCGGAGAGGATTGGAAGAGAAGAGCTTTCTAGTGCGGGAAGACCAAGTGCTGTATCGGCAGGGAGGGCATAGCAGTGGGGATGCAGTGGAGTGTGAATGAATGAGCGGAGGAAGTGGGGAGAGCTTAAGATGTTGTATCAGAAAAGCATTTGGAAACGAGGTTAGTGAGTTTGGATGGACTTTCCTAAAGGCAATGATGGAGTCACTGAAGGTTTTTAACCAGGCCAGTGGTGTCATCAGTTTTTCCAGGAGAAAAAGGGATGGATAGGTAAGTATCCGAATGAGAGATGATGGTAACGGAAACTACCAGGGGTATGGAGAGTGGGGATGGAGAGAAGTGTGTGGCCTGGAGAGTATTTAGAAGGTGGGATGAACAGAGTTTGATGATTGCTGAGTGAGGGACAAAGAAGATTCTAGGTTTCTGGTTCTCATAACTGAGTGAATGGTGCTGCCACAGGTGTTACAAATCTGACACAGAGGCTTTCTTCAGATGTCTGGCAATCGTTACTTGTCTGTTCATGCTTCAAAG